TGACAGTGCACCATTCCTGGATCATAATCACCCCCTTATAAAACAAGGCATGGACTCCCCAGCGACCCCCGTGGGCTTATCTCCGCCACTTCTCAGTCTGGTGCTCCGCAATGAATCATGCTATACAAAAAGGTAAAGCCGTTGCCCACGCTGGCTTGTGGTTGGCACGGTTAATGTTTCACAATAGTAGCTCGCGAACCGGTCCTTAATTGTCATGAGCACGACTCTCAAAACCATGTGCTCACAACCCACCATTATCAAGTTTTAGTTGGCAAGTAATTAATTAACCAATCACGATTGACCATCGTGAACTATCATTAAACCATCATTAAATAATAATGAATCATAAGTTATCCCAATAGTGTGCTAATGTTTCTAAGCATGGCTAAGCAATCATATCTAATATCTAGCTGAACCAATATATAAAGCTCAACTAGTCAAATTATAATAACCCAAGGTATCAAGGAATAAAGTAATCAATGCAAACAGGCCATAACGAAGGAATAGGTTCACACCACCCAGTGACATTCGAAAATAAATGCACAGTTGAAATAAATAGAGAATTTAAATATATGATCAACATGCTCAAAGGATTGTGTTTAGGATCTGTGTGACTTGCCTTGCAATAATTGTTCTTCAATTAATCTTCTTGAACACTTCCGGCGCACTCGCGAACCTTCGCAACGACGGAAACGACAAGCTAACACGCAATATAAGGAAAAGACTAATAAAAACCAAATAAACAATACATAAAAAGTAAACAAACATGTAGATCATATTTTTAGATGAATTATGAGACTTGAACGGCCTCATTCTGACTTCAAATGAATTTATTATGAATTTTACAAGATTAAATCTATTTAAAGCCCATTTAAAAAGAATTAAATAAATTTAATTCAATTTATGGACAATTTTAATATGTAGATCTTTATTTTATACAACTTTTGCAACTTGAACCACATTAAACTGAGTTAAGATGAATTAGTTATGAATTTTTAAAGATTAGATCGGATTAAAACACTTATATTGATTTTAATTGAATTATGACGCAATAATGAATTATTTTTGAAAAGGAAAAGGAGGATTATTGCGTCAGCGGCTAGGGTTTCGGTGGACCGGGTGCACGGCGGCGGTTCACGGGAACGGACGGCCGAGATCAACCCTATCCAAAACGGACGGCCGAGATCGATCGGTCCACGACCGGCTCACGGGAGACGGGGACGATGACGTCAGCGATGACGTCACCACCGGCGGCGGCGGCTCGGCGGCTCGGACGGCGCACGCTCGCCGGCGAACGGCGGCTCTACGGCACAAACGGAGGGCACCAAGACGTAGAGGGCGACGCGGCGAACTCACCGGTGACCAAAGAAGCAGCGGAGAAGCAACGGACAGCGCCGGCGACGAGGAAGAAGCGACGGCGGAGATCGGGTTGACGGCGGCGACGGAGCTCCGGCGGTCTTCGGCGGTGGCGAAGCGGTGGACGGGGATGGCGACGACTTTGCGAACCCGATGGTGGCGACGGCGACCGACGACGGCGGCTGCAACGACGGCGGCGACTAGGGCTACGCGGAGGCGGCGCTAGACACGACGGCGGGCTAAGGCAAAGGTGGCGGCGGGTAGAGGAGACACCGGGGGTCCTTATATAGGGGCTAGCGAGCGGCGACGGAGGCCCACGGCGATCGGCGGCGAGAAGGAAAGATCGGGTTCGGGAGAGAGAGAGAGGAATCTGATTCGATCTCGAATCCACCGGTTTCCAAAGAAAATTAGCCGATGTTTCCAAAAGAGAAAAGGAAGAGGAGATCGAGAAGATTGTTTCCCCTCTATCAATTCGGCCGGAGAAGGAAAGGATCGACCGAATTTTGGAAAGCGGCGGCGGAGCGGCTCGGCTAGGGTTTCGGGCGGCGGCGGCGGCGCTAGGAGGAAGACAGACCTGACAGACGGGCCCCACCTGTCAGCGGCTGAGAGAGAGAGGAGAGCGGCGGCTCGGCGGATTGGGCCGGACTGGGCCGAGGGAAAGAGAGAGAGAGGGTTTTGGGCCGACTTTCGGCCCAAAGCCAAAAGAGACTTTTAAAAACCTTTTTCAATTTAAATTATTCATGAAATGCAATTCCATTTATTAAAAATACTTCCTTAGCTCAAATAAATCCCAGAAAAATCTAGGAATTATAGAATTAAGCAAAGTATTTAACAAAATTTTATCTAGCCCAATTTTATGTTGAGATTTAGCAAATTAAAATTAGATCTTCTCTTCTAGGCTTTTAAAATCATTTCTAATAATTCCTTTTAAACAACAATTTATAATTTAAGGATTTTAAACAAGAAAAGCACTTAACAAATATAATTTGATCATTATTGATCAAATAATTACTGAACTGTTCTTTGTATCATTTAGGAATTGAGCTCTGAAAAATCCGAGAAAATTTCAGAGAGTTGACTTAATCATGGAGAATTTAATAAAAATTAAATCCATCCATGCTTTATATTTAGGAAATTTTATTTCCCACATTTAACTTCACTTGTAAATTAAACATCATTTAATATAAATTCTAATAATAATTTATTAAATAATTTATAAACCCTGAAACAAAAATCAGGATGTGACACCTCCATTGTTCTTCTTTCTCTAGATCTTGATCCATAGTTTCTTTTTTTTTCACTTTATTTATGAGGACTATGTGAATGTTGTTCTTCTCATTTGTATGGTGATATTTGATATGTGAATCTTATTCTTCTCATTTGATTTGTATGGTGCTTAATCTGTGCAAATGGTAGCTGGATGGGGATATTTTCAGATATATTTTGTTGCCCAAAATATTTTCAAATTATTTTTGTAGGTGGTCTGCTTTAGATGTCCAGCGGACCGGTTAACGGAGTCACCTGGAAAAATAATTTTCGTAAACGGACAAGGGGTCCGCTTGCAAAAAATCTTTGATTTTTGCAGGCCTCTAGGGACAGACGGAGACTATGACCGCCTGAAAAAAAAAATTCTAGTAATGAATGGACTTTTTGCATGGGGTGAACTGATCTTGAATAAGAAAGGTCAATTGAAGATGATGATAAAAAGAAGACAAACACTTGTACGATAGCATGTCATATGATGTTAATGAAGCTAGACAAAGATATATATGTCTAGATTCATTAATATCAATATGAATGTGGAAAATGCTAGAATGACTTACATTGTGAAACGGAGGAAGTACTTATATTCGTTGATGGAAATTGGTAAAACCGATACATTTTCATTCGCAAAACGTAGAATTCTTTTCTTAAAAATAAAAATTACCTGAAGGTACAGCGGAATTTGCCCTGAATGGGCCACAACACCGTGGGCTAGCCCATTGCCCAGCCCTGCCCAGCGCAGTCAACATCTCCTCCTGATGGAATAAGACCACTTTGACTCCCTCAACTGACCACCGAATCTAAATCGTATCCCTCAACCGCAATACCAGAAATCTCAACCCCCGAACTTTCAAAACTGGTGCAATTTGACTCCCTCGGCGGTTTTGGGGGCGGTTTCACTGACGTGGCGCCTACGTGGCGATATTGACGGAGTCTTCGGTCCACGTGGCGTTGACATGACATTTACATGGCAGTAGAATTAAAAAATATGCATGGGACCCATTAGCCATTCACACAAAAAAATGTGGACCCACTGACATGTGGGGCCCACATGTCAGCCCTTCCTTCTTCCTCCTCCCTCTCTCCCTTCTCTCTCTTTCTCTCCCCTTCTTCCCATTCGGCCGACGGGCAGGAGGGCGACTGGCGGCATTGGGGCGCATCGGAACCGGACCGGGGGCGCGGCGGTGGCTCGGCCGTGGTGGCTTGCGGTAGTGGGAGGACGAGGGGAACGGCGGCGGCGACTCGCAGCAGTGGGAGGACGAGGGGAACGGCGGCGGCGACTCGCGGCAATGGGAGGACGAGTGGAACGGCGGCGGCGGCCCGCGCTGCTGCTTGTCATCCTCGTCCTGGCGGTTACCGGCGTGGTCTCTGACGGCCCGTGCTGCCGCTCGTCATCCTCGTCCTCGCGGTTACCGGCGTGGTCGCTGTCGGTGATGAAGCGACTGGCGCGAGGGGGTGATGAGGAGGCCGCTGGAGAAGGTCGGGGCGGCGGGGCTGGAGAAGGTCAGGGCGTCGTCCTGCTCGTGTTCGCTGCGTCACTCCACTGCTCGACCGCCGTCAGCTCGGTGCTGGCGGCGCCCAAGAAGCTCCGATGGCCACCGCCGCTCCCCTCGTCCGTGAGCCGTTGCCATCGTCGGTGGACCCCGGCGGTGCGCCGTAGCCTCCCCACCGAGGCCGAGCTAGGCCGGCCGCTCGCTCTCACCGCCCTCCCGCCCGCCGGCCGAATGGGAAGAAGGGGAGAGATTGAGAGAAAGAGAGAGAAGGGAGAGAGGGAGGAGGAAGTAGGAAGGATTGACATGTGGGCCCACTTTTTTTTTTTTTTGGTGTGAATGACTAATGGGTCCCATGCATATATTTTAATTCTATTGCCCCGTAAGTGCCACGTCAACGCCACGTGGACCGAAGACTCGGTCAATATCGCCACATAGGCGCCATGTCAGCGAAACCACCCCAAAACCGCCGAGGAAGTCAAATTGCACCGGTTTTGCAAGTTCGGGGTGTCGAGATTTCTGGTATTGTAGTTGAGGGATACGATTTAGATTCGGTGGTCAGTTGAGGAAGTCAAAGTGATCTTATTCCCCTCCTAATTCCCCAAGCTGCCAACCAACCCAGCGGCAGCCGGCGGGCCGATGGAAAAGCTGGTGATGAGACGCGAGCGGCGGCGGAGCGAGCTGTTGTAACGCAAGCGGTGGCGCGAGTGAGGTCGGCGGCAGTATCCTCCGTCGTCGCCTCGTTGGGAGCGGTCGCGTCTCACGGTCAGGCCGCCGCTAGCTGGGATTTGAGGTGCGTATTTTGACTGAATTACATATGGCTATTTCATCCACGAACCATATGGAATGAGATGTGAGGTGTTATATATGATGCATGTTTAAGAACAACGGTTCAAATTAAATTTGTGTGTACTTTGCTTGCTATTGTTCCCCTTTGACATGTCGGATAATAGTACTTGTTAATCACGGATCAAAAGGAATACTAGCGGTAGCAAATTACTGTTACTGCTTATAACATACAGACTGCTATAACTAGTGTTCCAAATGCTAACAGAAGTTCAGATAACAATTACACCAAACATGAGAAACTTAATTGATCGATACTAGTAGAACAAGTAGTGCTGAAAAGATCTTGTGAGCTAATTTACTTCATTCCTCATAAATCTTCTGTGTCAAGCTTTGGTGGTTTCCCATGGCTGTCTTGAAAGTGACAACTTATATGTTTCCTTTGAGCTGCTTCCAAGCCATTTTAAGCATCACCAGTTGTTCGGCTACTTCTCTCATTTCTGGTCGTTCATCTATATTATCACTTAAACACTTCATTGCTAGAATGCCAATTGCTTCAAGGGTGGCCATGTTTTCCTCAGCAGTGATCTCATTGTCAAACATAATCCTCCCACTGTTTTCTTTCTCATAACAATTGACATACTCGACAACAAGACTGCATTTCTTACTATCTAAAATTCGTTTCCTGGTGATGAGTTCCAAGAGAACAACTCCAAAACTATAGATATCACTCTTCCGTGTGAAAAGTCCGGTTTGAATGTACCTTCGGTCTATGTAATTGATGTCAGCTGCCACAACCCATGTGCTATCTTCTCCTATCTGTGATGATCCAAAACCTGAGATTTTAGGCACAATGTTGTCATCAAAAAGTATATGGGTTGTTTTGACATCTCCATGTAGTATGGGTTTGGATCTACTGTGCATATATGCCAGTCCTTCTGCCGACCCAACAGCAATATCTAGACGTAAATCTAGTGGGAAAGGAAAATTGCTAGTACCATGGAGTATGTCGTAGAGGCTCCCTTTGTTAGCAAATTCATAAACCAATATTACAGCATCCAGCTTACAGCAGAAACCCAACAGTTGGATAATGTTCTTATGGATCAGTTCGGGAAGGTTCAGCTCTTTACCACATCGATCCTCTTCATGTTCAGTTCCTTTTATGTATGTCTTCACTGCCACCTTTCTATAATTCTCAAGAATTCCTAGGTAGACATTACCAAATGCACCTCTACCAATAATTGTTGAATTGTTATTTGTTATTACTTTTATTTCACGTGCTGTGAACATTCTTTTTCCACTAATATACAGAGGGGTTCCTTTCTTTCTAGATTTGTACATGTTCCGGTTGAAAATGCCTGCCATCTTAGGGAACGCCATCAAACTGGAGCTGACATTGTTTGTACCTTGCTGGCTTTGTTCTTTATCTTCATTCTGTGTTTCAGGAAAGAGGTGCCAACCAAAATTTTCTAGTGGAGCAGGTTGTCTCAAACAGAATTTCCTAAGCATCCGAAGGTGCCCAGCCAGGTCGCACATATCCGGACGTCTATGAATGTCCTCTGTTAGGCATTCCTGTAGTAATTTTCCAATCTCCACTAAAACCTTCATGTTGCTCTCATTGCAAATTTTGGGATCAAGCAATTCAGTCACCCCCTTTCCTTCAGCAAGAGCTTGAGCCAGACTTGCCGCCTTTTTCTTGGTGATAAGCTCCTGAAGAACTATTCCAAAACTATAAACATCACTTTTGGAGGTGAGACGTCCCTCCCGACAATACAGGGGATCCACGTAACCTATACTCCCTATACACTTAACAGTATGAGTTTTGTCTGTCGAGAGAAGTCTCGATATTCCAAAATCTGTTATTTTTGCATTAAAATTGTCATCCAGCAGAATATTGGAAGGCTTTACATCACCATGTAGAACAGGGCTGCACATAGAATGTAAATACCCTAGAGCATCTGCACACTCTATAGCAATATCCAATCTTATGTCCAATGAATCAAGGCTATTCTTGTCATGAAGATGGTAATCAAGGTCCCTATTAGGCACATACTCCATGACCATCATTGGAGCATTTTTCTCGATGCAGTAGCCAATTAGCCTGACTACATTTTTATGGTTGATTTGACTGTGAACACGTACTTCTTGGGCAAACATTTCTTCAGAATCCATTTTAATATACTTCTTCACTGCAACGAAATGGTTATCATCAAGAACTCCCTTGTAAACTTTTCCGAATCCACCATTTCCAAGATTGGTGTTGTAGTCACTGGTAATTCTTTTTATATCTTCTTCTGTGAAAGGCTTTATATTAGAAATGTTCTCCTCTATCCATTGTGCCCTTTCAATATACTCTTTGTGCTTGCTTTCTGAAAGATCCATAATTATACAATATGATCGTTCTTGCTTCAAATAAATTGATGATGGCCTGGTCACATGATAAGTATAAGTTAAATATCAATTTAAATGCATTGTTAGATTTTTTTTTACCACACATGTGCATAGTATAAAAAATATATGGCTATATTCCAAAGGTAATTGTCCCTAAAAAGCAGAGTTGCAACAGACCTTAACTTGAACTGCTGACAGCTTATAAAACAAAAAGCATAACCTAAATTAAATTTTCAACAATCTCATGAAAATCGATGTCGTTTCTTATATGCATGTGACAAGAAAAATGGTTTATGTTTGATACGAGCCTGACTTCATTTGACCTAATATATTTTGCAGAATACAATCGCCTTCAGCTCTATTTTGCGCCGCAAGTTTTAGGATAAATTTGTATGCCTTTGAACTTTTGGATTCAGGGTGAAGATTTGTTGTGTCCATTATGTTATGCCGTCTTTCCCTGTTTGGGACACCTTTTAATTATACGAGGATTTAGGCCCTGTTTGATTCAGTTTAGAATTATTATAATCTAAATTATTAGGAGTAAGCTGAAACAAACAAGTAGATTATTATGCTAGATTATTATAATCTATAAGCCAGATTACTAAAATACAATAATCTCCTCTAGAAGAGCTTTTTTCAGATTATTGAGTGGCTAAAGACCCACTAGCCTTAGATGCATCTAATAATCTAGAGAAACAAACAACTCGTAGCTTATTTTATGTCAGCTTATTATAATCCAGCTTAGAGTAATCTGATTTAATAATCTAGATTACAATAATCTCAAGCTGAAACAAACAGGACCTTAGTTGTGTGCGAGTCTAACTTCCAGTAAAATTCATCCAATTACCAAAACAGATACAGATTGGGATAGAAGATCCAAACAGCACCAGTCGACGTTTATGCAAGCTCTATGACCATCTTGGTGGTATAATGGTATACTATAAAATTATAAGTGGTATTTTTTTTTCGCCGAGAAGGCTGAAGGAGGCCATCCGAGTACATTAAAAAGGAATAAAGTTTACAAGAAAAAACTCGACAGAAGCTGTCGAGGACGGAGGTGCATCAAAATGCACAACCAAAGCCACATGCTAACCACACAGACACAACCCATTGAGAGAAGAACCTAGCACCGAAACGACCCCCGCTATGCGTGACCGATCGCCGCCGGGCCAACGACAAAACAACAAAGACGAGACTCTGAAAAACGATGCCCCCATGGAGGTCACGACATCAAAGACGCCGCCATCGCCCATCTAAGGAACATGTGGTTTTCACCTAGTGAAACTCACCAAGGGAGAGGGGTATCATTGCCAACGCCCCCAAGGAGGTTACGACGCCCAAAGGCGTCACCGCTGCCAGCCCGATGAACCATCAGGCGAGGCTTTCGCCCAGAACCCATGCAACCTTGCTTGAAGTTCGTCGCCCATCAACTCAGGAACCATCTCGCAAGCAGATTAGCACGAGGCCTCCACCGCACCACGTCGGCACCCCTCCACCGGCCGACCACCACACTTGCTGCAGAGAGCTGCCGCCACCCCTAGGAACTGGCCCAGGCCTCCTCCGTCCCACCATCTGCCGGCCTCCTTGCTAGTTTTGGCCGAAAGAGAACCCGGAACTAGACAGCGTCGTGATGGCGATCTGAGCTTCCCTCGCTAACCGGCTGCCGCCTCAATCCAACATAGAAACTCCCCACATAGAAGGGGAGGAGCTCCAGGAAGGGCAAGGGTGCAGATCGACAACGAGGAAGACGACCCACCGCTGCCAGCTCCCTTAGCACTGCCATTGCTCCCTTTGCGCCCTGCCTCAAGGCCTACGACCGCCATCTCCACCTCGAACGCCACCACCGCTGCACCAGATGGTCAGACCGCGGCCTCCGGGCGAACCATCCCAACACCGCCGTCCAAACCGCCCAGGCCACGCCGCACCGACCATAGCCTTCTGGCCGCGCCCTCCGAGAGGGCCGCCGCCATATCCGCGCAGGTTGCGCTGCGCCAACCCCAGGCCATCGCCCGGCTGCTGAGCTGGTCGCGCCCTTCGGGAGGGCCGCCGCCACCATCCGCCCAGGCAACGCCACGCTACGCAGCCCCGCACAGGCCCGTGACGCCCCTCGGCCGCCCGCGCCGGCTTGAGCCGGGCGTGGGGCGACCAGATCTGGCCACGGGGCACCGGATCCTCTGCCACCGTTCGCCCAAAACCACACCACGCTGGTCCCTGGGCCGCCGTTCCGTGTTGGCCCACAACGCCCCACAGCCGCCCGCGCGCCGCCGCCAAGACCTGGCCGTCGCGCGGGCCCTATCCAGACAAGGGGCGACCAGATTCAGCCACAAAGGTGCCGGATCCACCGCCTCCCCGAGCCGCCCCGCCGTCTTCACCTCCGGCCGTGGTTGTGGGCGTCGTCGGCTTAACTCTGTCCTCCTCGCGCCAAGGAAGAAGTCGCCTAAGTGGAGGGCCTCGCCGCCGCCTTCCCGGCTCACCACTGACGAGCTCCGGCAGCGGCGAGGTGGAGAGAGGGGCGGGGCTGTGGTGGTGTGGGCGGCATCTTTGAGTTTCACTCTGCTAGTAGTAATTGGGGGAAAAAAGGAGGGTCCAGGATGGATAAAAAAATTGAGTTTCACTCTGCTAGTAGTATACAAGCTTCTGATCGGCATCTTTGATGCAAGAACTAGCCAAACAGATCTAATCCAAGAACTCGTTGAACAGATCTCACCTTGTTGTTTATTGACAACAAATTCTTGTAACATAATACTAGTGAACAACAGTAGAGAAAACCTAGACAGACGAACTAGCTAGTATATATGAATACAGTTAATTTCTCTCTTGAGAAACGCTCACCAGTGGCCGGCTGGTGTGGAGGCGGCGTCGATGGCGTAGGAGGAGACGGACACTGGCACCGGCGGAGGGAGGGGGGAGGCGACTGGCGTAGTCAACCGAGCATTACTATTCCACACAAGGGAGGTGAATTTATCCAGATATTTGATGGACCTTGTACTACTTTTCTAGCTAGTGACATGCAATGCAAGGCACCACGCATAGAAAATCCAAATTAACAGTCACCGGAGCAGTAATTGACAAGTGACACTGCCTCAAGCACTCAAATGTTCTCGGAAGATAACAAAAGCAAAAATATATATAAAAAAAACTTTAACACGATACTAACCCAGGAGAAAAAAGTGGACCAAGTCATCACTGTCTAATAATCCCTATGGGCACTGCATAAACCGCTGACTCTCAACAAGAATGAGAAAAATAGCCAAAACAATCTTAGTTAATTCCTACAAGTCCACTCCGTAGAATGTCTATATTTTGATCCACATGAACCAGCATATCGCCGCTCAGCAGGCAGCAGCAAAAGTTACATTAGCATCACACTTGTGTTGAGTTTATAACGAAAATTCTCAGTGTTGTATCCTTTCAGTTTATAACAAGAACTCATGTAGCAAAGCAGTCATTTGAAAAGAAGTGAACAATAATATACTTCCTCTGTCCCACAATACTTATCTTTCTAGCATTTAAATATTGTCCCAAAATAGTTGTCACTTTGGAGTACTACTTGTTACATCAACCACTTTCAATTCAAATTTCTTCCCATTCTACAACCAACCACCCTCCTACATCCAACTATACATTATTTATTAAAGGATATTATAGTATTTTTCTCCTAACATTAGTACATGCTAAACAACCTAGAACGACAAATATTATGGGACGGAGGAAGTAAGAACAGTTAATTCCTAATGATATTATAGTATTTTTCTCCTAACATTAGTACATGCTAAACAACCTAAAATGACAAATATTATAGGACGGAGGAAGTAAGAACAGTTAATTCCTGATGATATTATAGTATTTTTCTCCTAATATTAGTACATGCTAAACAACCTAAACGACAAATATTATGGGACGGAGGAAGTAAGAACAGTTAATTCCTAATGGGACACTTCAGACAACAATAAATGGATGAAAGGAAGCAGATTTAAGCATCCAAATGCATCGATTTTGAGTTAGGAACTGTTATTGGATGAAGGAATTAGAATTAAGCATCCAAACGCATCAATTTTGAGTTACCGACTTGGCATGGTGTTAAATAGTAGAGATAGAGAAATGCACATTGTATTGAAACTCGGGGGCCAGTATATATAGGAGATACATGGGGTAGAGATAAGAAAAGATTACAGATATGAAAGAAGTCCACACAAATCAACCATATCCTAACATATACTCTAACTTCCCCTGCAGTCCAAGCGTAAACAGCGCGGAGGCTTAGACTAAAGAAAAACTAGCAAAAGTGCTCAACATGGATGATAGCCCTTTTATGCCGTAATCGATGTAGCCAAATCAAAGGACGCGAGGGAGCCGTGGTCTCGATGAAGCCATGCATAGAATACCCATGGTCGATGTAGCCGAAGTTATTAGATTTAGCCATCCAAACATAGTCAGCTTATGAGTTACTAACTTGCCTTTACAATGTTTCATGGGTTCCTTGCTACTTTACAAACTTCTGTATCTCAGGATGAGAAAATATATTCATTATAAAGCTCCCCCCCCCCTTTCTCTATCGCTGGCACGTACTAGACGATCGTGATCAAATAAGTCTTTGGATCGGGATGATATAATAAACTAAGTTTAGAGATCTCGATGAACAATTTACTATTTACAAGCTCAAACCTACTTACGGACTGTTGATGCGATTTACTCATTTTTGAATTATAGAATTGCACAGATTGACACTTCAGATTAATGCATCGGGATCTAAACAACCACTGTCACTGTCCAGAAAAGAACACGTTCACTTCATATCAACACACACGTTACCCTTTATGAAACGGCACTCCCACTGAAGAAAAAGGCCTCTGAAGAAAACAGCAAAAAGGCTCCATCTTAAACAAGTCGCTTCATAAGAGTATACGAACAAGGGCTAATTAAAGAAAAAGTGTGCTATCCCCAGTATTGAGTATTTGCCATGATGGAGATATACCATCGTAAACGTCGACTTTAGAGCTTGTGGATAGGAGCAATAAGCAAGCAAGTAGGATCAACAGAACAAAAATTAACGATACTAACCAGCCGTAATTAAAAAGCAGATGCTATTGTATTAATTAATGGAATCAGCCACTCTAACAATCCCTACTGGCATTACATGAACGACACTCTCAACAGGAATCAATGAGCAAAGCAGCCAAAACATATTGTTAAGTCCTACAAGTCTACTCTTTAGAATGTCTAAACTTTGATACACATGAACCAGCGTCATATGCCATAGCAGGAGTATTTTGGAAGCAGTTTCATCTTAGCAACCGGTGGCAGACAAATTTGAAAAATCAAACAATTTTATCAGCAAAGATCTCAAATTTACAGCTTATTATGTCAGACAGTAAATACATTAACATCACCATTGTGGTGAGTTTATTAACAGAAGCAATCATTCAGAAAAGAAATGAACAATAGAAGAACAATTGATTTTGGCTGGGATACTTCAGACAACAGTCACTGGATGAAAGGAAGTAGATTTAAGCATCCTAAATTCCAAATGCGTCGATTTGAATTATCAGCTACTACTGGGATGAAAATAATTAGATTTAGGCATCCAAACTCATCAATTTTAAGTATTTACATTGTTTTATGGGTTTCGGTTGGTAGTTTACAAATGCTTGTATCTCAGGATGAGAAAATACTCACTCAAAAGATCGTAACTTTGATACCATAGCAACATAAGTTACACACTCTGGAATACATGAGCTAAAGTAGATTGTTCTACCACTGGCTTATGCAGAAGACGATGAACTATCTGCATCATAGAAACTTGCGATCGGATACACGGCATATATAGGACGGGAGTCGGGGGAGTCCAAGAACTCGTCCATTTTGCAAAGCTCCTTGAACCGCAATGACTCAAGATTGACCATGAAGATCCTGGTGGACGACGCGACGAACAGCTCATTGTAATCCTGCGAAAACCCCAGCACCTTGGTCGGATTGACACACTCCCCCGCGCTCAGATGAAGAAGATTGTCGAGGTAGATCGGTTCGAGCGGCAGCCACCCGGGGAGGCCGTCGAAATCGATCATCCACTGCCATATCTGCATGCAGGATCTTGACATGACAATGAGCCCAAGCTCTGTCCCCTCTTGGAGAGTAATCGGGTAGAGGCCATCATGATCTTCATGGATATGCGTCGGCACATACACCACGGAGAGGCTGTGGTTCACCAAATTGAACTCGAGGATGTTGTTGTCGTAGCCGAAGAGCATCCAGTAGAGGAAATCCCCAATCTGGATGCATCTGCACCCAAGCGAGATGCAATTCCCCACTGGGGTTTCGGCAGCATGGTCTCCCCAATCTCCGGTCTCCGACGAGTAGACGAAGGCGAAGGCGGTGGACCTGTCGGTGCCGACGAGGACCACCTTGAAGGGGTTGGACTTGCAGTTGTCGCCGTGGACGTGGTCACCGGCGGCGGTGGTGGCGGCGCAGATCACCGTGGCCTGGAAGAAGACCCCCTTTAGGGCATCGAGCTGCGGCGGGGGGGAGAGGTGGATGAGGTCGCCGGAGACGGGGTCCCAGATGAGGATCTGGCGGCAGCCGAGGCCGCTCTTCCAGTTGAGGAGGAGGAGGCGGCCATGGCGGCAGCCGTGGTAGTACCAGTTGCCGCCGAGCTCGGTGTCGTCGTGGAGGCGGATGGAGAAGCGCTCGGGCGGGACGCGGTCGGGGGCGTCGAGGGTGGCGCGGAAGAGGGGCTCCCGGCCGCGCGGGTTGACGAAGAAGCCGAGCAGCGGCGGCTCGCCGTGGTGGGCGCGGTAGCGGCGGAGGAACCCCGGCTCGGCGGCGATGCGGCGCCACCGCCTGCAGACTGCGCCGGCGCGGATGAGCTGGGTCGGCAGCGGCGGGACGCGGAGGAGGATCTCGCGGAGCACGTCGTCGCTCAGCGGCATCTCGTCCATCTCCGGCGGCATCTCGTCCGTCTCCGGCGGCGGCGGCGGCGGCGGCGGCGTGGTGTGGCTTATCATCTCGGCGGCGCGGCTAATCTTGACCGTTGGATTTGGCGAGTGTACGGAAACAAAGTAATCTGTGGAGAGGCTGTACTAGGAATTGGTTTTATTTATAGCGATCGGACGGCTCAGAGACCGCCACGGAGTCGGGTTGGAAACGGTAATTATGTCTGACACGAACTCGGATTAAAAACTGGATTAGAATTAGTAATTGGCCTATTGGGCTTTCAGCCCACCGCCCCCATCTGGGCCGGCTCACGAAGGAAGGAGAGGAACGAGACCGACGCGGATGACACATGCGGCCATACGGACAAGAGGTACGTGAGGTAAAATAGCGTCATGGTTTGAAAGTGTATCTCTTGTTCTTCTCTTCCCATTTTTTTCTAATTATTATTATCTTCATTTACACTTTTATAAATATATGCTTTGTGATTTGTTGCATTCGTACACATCCGAAAATGCTTCGTTTAAGACGTCCGGACGAGCTCAAAATATCGGACGCTTATTCTAATCCAATGGCCTGTTCACTTTAATGTCATTTTCAACCATATTATTTTTTAGCAAAGTTGCTAAAAAAATATCTACGTTTAGTTTCTTGCTAAATTTGGTCAAAACAATAAGAAATCCTATCAAAATTTTAGCAATATTGCCATCTTGCCAAAATTTTGGTATTGCCAAAACTTCGTAAGGTTTATTTTGGCTACAATCTGAACAGGCCCCAAATCTCTCAGCCACCTCCTCCACCACACATTCCCTTTCATTCTTTCTTCTCTCCTCAAAGTCTCTCTCTTCTCAAAGCCTCTACACAGGAGAGTTGCAAGCCATGGCGAGGCATCGTCTCCGATGGCCGCACGGCGGCTTCGACAATGGAGCAAGGTGACGCGTGATAGGAAAGAGGTGCTCGACCTCGCCGGAGGCCACATGGCGACGGCAGGGCAAGGCGGTGCGTGGTAGGGAGGAGGCAATGGACCTCGTCAGCGGCCACACGGCGGGATATACAGCGCAGTATTGAGGAGGAGGTGCTGGACCTCGCTGGTAGCCACACGGCGGTGGGGTGTAGACAACGTAGGATTGGGCAGGAGGCGCTGAACCTCACCGGCGGCCACACAGCAGCGGCAACAATGTGGCAGAGGTGCTAGATTTGGCTGTTGGTGAGAACTGGACAGCGCGGCTGGTCTTAGGTGAGGTCGCCCACCTCGTGCCGCTATTCTTCTCCCAAAAGCATCAGTTACTTGGTTCTAGCAGCTATGGGTAGAAGAAGAAGACGAATGTGGGTTCATTGCATTGGAGTTTTAGTGATGTTTTAGCATATTGTTTCATTTTGTTGCACTTTATTGTATTAAGGTGTTTCATTTTGTTTTGATTCAGTGTTGCATTTTACTGATTCTTTGTGTTGCAACCAGCCTATTTCAAATTTTGCATTTGATTGAAACAATTTTGTTCAAGTAATGAAACATTTTTCCTCGGTCGATGAAACATCTGAAACATTTTTCATCGAGTGGTGCAACATGTGAAACACTTTGTGATAATACAGTGCAACACCATCTGATCTTTTGCAATAGATCGGACGTCTGATTTGTAGCAGCCTCCGTACACATCGCTTAAGAAATTGCCCGGTTAATCCTACCATAAGTGTGTTCAGCAAAAAAAAAGATGTCCATTATTAGCATAACTAGGAAAATGGCCCGCGCATTCGCGCGGGCATGTGTCGTAGGCTATGTTAATTTGAACATATGCTATATACAATTTCTCCATAAATTGTTTCCATCAGCATTGCTTTTATAATTTTCTAACCTAGCTATTAGTTAGCTTTATAGCAAATAATATTTAATTAATCCCTACAAGTAATTATTTATAATCTTCTTCATCATCTAAAAAAAAAGAAGGTAGACTTATTTTATGTTAGAAACATGTATACCAAATTAAGTGTCATGTCAAAAGTAAGGTGTTTTTTAATTGAATATAGGTTATCATTGTTTATTGACGGATGAATTGATGTGATATGAGGCTCCCCTAAATGCATGTGTTTATATAGTCTAATATAATTATGTAGTTTAAGAGACAATCCATATGCGAATGTTCTGTGTAGAATATGTGGGAGGCTCCAGGCAACCTAGCGTGAATACAGTTGGATGAAGAAATATAGTTGCACTATATATTTTTATATATTTTTTTTTGAACGTGATGCATCATGAATACACACTTGTTTTTTTAAGATGAGATAGATGTAACGGATGAAAATAATGGGTTCATCGGTTTAAAAGGCCTAGGAGTATATGCGGGGTAATATAAGGCGCCTTTATACTAAAAAGCAACCATCTAATCGACTTAAATAAAGTTTAGGACACTTTGGCAGAAGATCGTTTGGCTTGTTTGCATTATTTGAGCATATTAATTGCAAAAAATATCATGAATTAATCAGATTCTTTTATCTAAGTAAAAGCACCAATTTTTAGACAATTAGACTTGAGTAGTTATATTTCTTATATAATGTATATCTAATTTAACTCTATTTGCAAAACAATGCACATACAATCAGTGTTTGTTGAATTTTTTATTCTTTTATGGCAATTTGGGTGATTATCCCTATGAATTGTTTTCTATGTAGTCGCTTGAAATATTCATGTTTCAGCTATTTTTTGCGAACTGAATGTCTAATTTAGTCATGTAGGGTTGCAAAATAATATATGATGGTGCAACTTATGTTGTTGAGTTATTTCATAGTTTTTAATGGAAATTTGAATAACATGTAAAAAGGAAGTGATGTTGTGCATCATTAAAAAGGATTGATGTATAATTACGAAATATATGTTGTTAATGTTTTTTTTATATTCCATCGCTATTTGGATAACCTGCAAAGTGCACGGTAGAATGTGACCAAATGTCATATTTTTATATAACAAAATATAGGCACATGGATCTTGAATTGTGCTTTAATTATAAATAAAGCAACAATTATATTAGAAAATTATATGCATAGCTTAAAATTATGGTATTTTCAATATTTGTTTATCTCTTTATTGTAGTATCTGAAAATAGGGAGGAAATTGGAGAGGAACGAATAGCTAGAGATGGGTTGGCAGTGTAATAGTGTTGTGCATATATGATTGGATAGGGTGGTGGAGGGGACATTGTTTTTCTAATGTTTCTAAATAATGTAGGTGAGAATTTGTTGTTTTCTCATTCTAAAGATCTTTAAGAGATGATATATATGTGGTGGCTTAAGATTTTTGTATAGAGAAAGAAGATCTAATAGTTAAAAATAATGGGTCATTGATTTAAGTGAAAACCGACAGATAGATGTTTTTTTCGTTGAATTCTATTTTTTCTAACTTTTAAAATGTGATACATTATGACTTAATAGCGCTATAGAGCACGCTAAGTTGATTTTTATTATGTAAAACGATTCTAAGACTACATAATATATAATTTCACTTTTTTTTTAATGTTTTGTTGTTAGTGGGTGAGGAGATTTTGTTTTTTATAGAGGTAGATTTAATGAGTTCGTCGGTTTTAATTATCTATATGTGTCAATCCAATTGTTAAATTATAGGTCACCAATTTAATTGAAAATTGTTGGTTTAATATTTCTTCTTTATAATAACTTTTAGAATTAAAATTGTTAGTTAGGAAATAGGAAGGTGAGAGAAAGGATTAATTATTGGAGACAGAGGAAGTGTACGAACGTATGTGCGTAGAGTGGTGGGAAGGGTGGGCCAGTGGTGAGAGGATAGTTGTGCCGGTGGAAGAGAAGAGAGGAATGTGGGTTGTATTTTTTGTTTTTGAAAAAATAAAATCTAATAGTTAAAAATAGAGGTCCACCGATTTACTATAATACCACGTGGTAGTTTAGGAGTGTTCATAGGTGTATCACGTGATAGTATAGTGCCTTTGTAGGTTAATGGACTTTTACTATAGTTTTTTTTAAAATGGTAATTAGGACAACATACAAAGGGTAGAAGTCTAGTCCCTAGAAATTATTCCTTTACGTAGAAATTTACTTACGTAAATTTACCATGGTTGAATCTATAGTTTTTTTTAAAGACACCATCGATCTAATTTTGATGGGTCCGCAAATTTGTTGATTATTTAGGATGCTTGTTGTTTAGCGAGTAAAAGAAAATAGTGCACACCTGCATTTGTTGAAGACCTAATGCTAATTTCATTAATCCCTAGCTGATTACAGGTTAGCCTATTTGGATAACCAAATTAGGCTGAGTTCTTTACCTCACATTCCTAACTTTATCTCTATTAAATGGTGTCACAATCCTAACTCATCTCTATTAAATCGTGTGTTTTTTTAAAAAAAATCTATATAAAAATTGCTTTAAAAATATCATATTAGTACTTTTTCAAAAAAATAACTAATAATTAATTAATCATGTGCTAATGTACACGTCGTTTTACGTGCCGGATAGACGGGGTTTCCAACCCCTCCTTCTGAACACAGCCTAAAGCAAGCAGCACGCATGTTGAAAGCCTAGCTATTTAATGTTTTGATTTGTCGGCACATCGTTGTGGTGTTATCGTATTACTCTAAGTTTCTGTATGACAGTACGAGGTTGTAAGCTAGTACATGCTCCCTCTCTACTCATAAAAGAATAGATTTTCAGGATAGTATTTAAGTCAAACCTTAAAAATATAAATTATGAATAACTCTCAAGTTGTTGTTGAGTTTGAAAATGTAAAAATTATATGAATAGATTTGTTTTGAAAAATAATTTCATAAAAATATACATATATCACTTTTCAATAAATATTTTTATAGAAACAAGAAGTCAAAGTTGTGTTTTGGAGATCATGTCGCTATCTAAAATAACTTCCTTTTATAAATATGGAGGAAGTACAGAGAGGGGAAGTACCAACACAGAGACAGAGAGGAGAAACGCACATGTGTGTATGTGCGGCAGGAGGATACATACGTGTGCCTTTGTTTTGTTTGGAAATATATTAATTTGGTCCAATATCCGGAGAAGTAGAGGAAGAGTGTACGTATTTAATTAGGTGGGCCAGTGTGGAAGAGAAAAATAAGGAGGATCGTGGAGTCTCTTTTTTTAAGATAAATCTAATATTAAAAATAGTGGGTTTACC